ACGCTGCTTGCCACGCAACACACCAGATTACATCTTCCTCTCCAAAACACTCCAATTTCAATCTCGTTCAATTTCCGTCGTGACACTGGACGGGAAAAACGACGCGATTGTTTCCTTTGTGCGTCAAGCACCCCTTCAGCAAGCGCACTTTCATCGTCACCTTTGTTTTTCTTTTGTTTCCCTCGGTCGATTTGAGGCTTCGGCCTCATTCTCCACGGCATCCGAAAGTCAAACAGATTAAACTACGAACGCAACCCTCCTTCAGCCCTCAACGACAAAAACCTGATCAACACAAACCACACCCGAGGCGACCTACCGCAACTATGCCTCCCCCAGCTATAGGCCTCCTCGGCCCTCTCAAGGCCCGCGGAGTGCTCATGGCCCGAGAGCCCCAAACAGGCGGCGAAGACTACGAGCCCGGCGCGGGCGTGATCAACCCACACAACATCAACAACACAGTCTTCTTCATCTTTTTCGGCATCATCAGCGCAGCCTTCGTAGTCGCCGGCATCTGGTTTTTCTTCTGGGCCAAAAACGGCGGGTTCCAATTCAAGGAGGGCGACTGGGAAGAGTATAAATCCACTGTTCTGCGACGCCGCGGGCCAAACGGCACGATCATCTCGGGGGCCACTGCGCCTACGGATCTCGGTGGCGGCAGCGTGTACAAGGACGTCGTGGACGAGGATGGCCGGACGGTGATTACGGAGAGTACGGGTCTGTCGGGGATCACGGCGGGTGTTAGTGACATTTCGGCAAGGGAACGACGACGGGCCTTGAGGGAGAAGAAGATCAAGCAGATGCAGGAGGAGCACCGGCAGCGCAAGAAGGAGAAGAAGGAGAAGAAGAAGAAGGAGTCGAGACATGTGGATGAGCACGGCGTTGTCGTCGATGCAGAAGCTGAGAAGCAGGCTGAGGACGAGTTGAGGAAGTATCGCCACGAACGCCCCGCGCGCGTCGGTGGGCTGAACAAGGAGAGCGAGGGCTCGCAGTGGGATGGGTCGACGAATCCCTCGGATAGTACCGTTTCGTCGAGTCTCATGAGCAACCGCCAGGCCACGCCTACCAATTCGCCGCAGAAGCCTGCCGGCGGTATCAGGAAGGTTTACTCCACGGCTGATCGTACTGCGGAGCGTGAGCGCGAAAGGGACAGGGAAAGGCTTCGGCTCGAGGCGAGGAGGCTTCAGGATCGCGGGCGGCAGGCGCTCATGGAGCGAGAGCCAAGTACGCATAGGAGCGGTAGGAGGGATTTCAGCTATCAGAGGGCGGCGGAGAGTGAGGTTGCGGAGTCGGCGGTGACGAGGAGCAGCCGAAGGAGCGAGCGGACGGAGAGGACGGAGCGCAGTGAGAGGAGCGAGAGAACCGAGAGGACCGAAAGGAGTGAACGGACTGAGAGGACCATGCCTGGAAGCTGGACGGCCAGTGAGGTTGATAGCGATCTGGGTACCAAGAGTTATCATCATCCAATTCCGGAGCTGAGGAGTCAGGCGAGCTCTGCTCCGCGGAGGCATCAGTCGAGTGATAGGAATAGGCGATCGAGGAGCGGATACCGACGGGCGAGGAACGAGGACTACACCGAGGAGTGATACTAAACTGGCGAGGTTTAACTAACCAGCGTCTCCCGTCATGGTTGACCCTTTACGGCCAGCCGCTTCTGGCTCCGGAGAGCAGATGATCGAGATGCGGACGGAAATTCGGGGTGGCAGAATGGCAAGAAGGAACTCATGGTATTCCCGGGTGCCGGGATATGGTTATGGCCCTGTTTCGATTTGGCGTTGTTTTATTATTTTCATCGTTTTTCCCCTTTCTCTTTTCCATTTGAACTTAGGCCTTGTTATTGTCATGTTGGTATCAACGGGTATGATGAGATGTGCCAGTCGGCATCATGTATGTAGATAGACACACCTCTCGGTTAGGGATTAGGGAATGAATCGCATTACATTGATCATTTGATGTACAAGTGTTTCGTAGCTGAATAGCTCGCATTTCTTTAAAACTCCTCGACGAGAACACTCGATCCACACGTAGCTGAGGACGCCAATGTGTCCCGTGTCCGCAGGTATGGGATATGTTTCGATCTGTTAGCCACAAGGCCCTTCTCGTAACTCATACCTCTCAGTCACATATTGCAATCCCCATCGGGACTTATCTGCACTTGTTTTCTCTTCCATTGCGAGGCCGAACCAAGTCCATCTAAGATTAGAATTCGCCTAGGGTTTTCCGAACTTTGAAGCCAAGGGTGTCAGAAGCCTCGCAGCCTTGGGTGCCCCCCGGAGCATTGCTGTTCCTATTTTGATACCGACAGGGGGTTCTCGAGACTCCAGAGGCCCCCAATAATGCCACCAAATACCTGTTGTTCGCAAGACTACCATGTTCTCTACGCTGTACATATATGATCCCGGACCAGCAAGCAAGCACAAGCCCAAGCGGTCTCTCAGATGTCGCCCGCACCTTCCTCGACAGGCTCGGCCCCAGCCATATGCTTTATATATGAGTCCACGGCAAGAACTTCTAACCGAGCAGCTCAAGTAGTGGTGATACTGCGACTAGTGGCTAAGTGGTTAATTGGAGCGCTCCGAAGGTTAGAAAATTGCAATTTTCGTAGCTCGCGGGCAAGCAACTAGGATTCGATCCGGGGAGCACGTCGCGAGCGAGCTTTTTGTGTGTTTTTTTTTTTTTTTTGTCCCCTTTTATTTTTTTATTCCTTTTTCTTTTCAACCCGGTCATCCAGCTGAGTTGCTGATATAGAGCAGGTGATCCCTCCAGATCCGATATCTCTAGTTCTGTCTCAGTAGTCTGAAGAAAGCCTGAGACCGTTTTGGAGTCTACTAGCATTTGTGTCTTGAGGAATAGACATATGCAGAGGGACTGAGAGGTTCTGCATCGAGAGGTGGTGTGTATTATTACCAAAAGTCGGTTGCCCTTCAGACTTCACATCTCACATCGGACGAAAACTTCAATAGAGCTGCATAAAATTGTCACCTGATATTGATACCTGAGGTGGAAGCTGCACCCTGGCGAAGACGAGTTCAGTGTTGGATCAATTGACACAGGAGGGCATTGATGACGGAATGAGAGTCTCGTCAGACAACGCTACTCGCTCGCTCCCGCATGACGAATGACGATTGATACGTCGTAATGCAAGATGAAAAATACGGCACATCTAATGCAGACGAACACCAAGGTTATTGGAACGTCCGCTGGCGGAGCGGAGGAGCTGCAGGAGTTTGGAGTCTCGAACTCTGCCAGAATCCGGCCTGATCCGACGGTTTCTGTCTTGTCCTGAAGCACAGACTCGTACATCTAACACTCGTTGGAACTGTTTGGTTCGACGTCAACCAACGCATTTTAATGAAAAGGGAGATGGCGCGTGTTTCCGTAGGCGCCCCTCCTCGCTCCGCCCGGCTGGGGCTGGGCTCAATCCTTTGAATCCTGTGCTGGCAACTAACACCTAACACTGAAGCTGACCTGTTGCCCCAGACCCGTCGGGTCGCAGTGGACAGAGACCCAACTCCATAGTTCTAAACACACGATCGCCACTAGGGGCCTGTAGGATCTGTAGCGATTCTTCATGACGAGGATGTCATGCGTACGGGGCCACCTTCAATTGGAAAAGAGCCATCTGTGTTTTCTTTTTCCTTCCCTGCAACTTCCACACGAGCCGGCGAGGCCTGTCCATGACTCTATTGATGGACGAAGTGCTTACGAAGTATTAATCCACAATTACACAATTGCAGTCAGCGACTGAGCGGAAGATTAGAAGATCAGGCGGTACTGTTCCATTCTGTGAAGGAGTTCGGACAGGTAACCGTGACAAGCACTGTTCTTGTGTTCTGGTTTCCAAGGTCAAGCCCCAGTGCCAAGAGTTTAAGTCACTGATACCTCTTATTTTACGCCACTTGATAAGATAAAGTCGTAAAATTGCTAGCAAGCACTAACAATAGAAAGTGATTACTGTTGTACCCCGAGGTTCCCAGTTCTCGGACATCTCCTTCGACCAAATCAGACCAGTATAAAGTACCTCCCACCCCATTGCATATCCTGTGACTTGAAAAGTACAAAGTACTCCGAATTTGTTGCCCCCTCTCTTCCCTTCCCGCAAGGGCGATCTGGAAGGAGCCCCCCAGCGTAACCAATTGTTCCCAGAAACAGCAACAAGTAGCAGGAACCCAACCAACCAAGCCACTGTAGTAGTGCCAAATCTGTGCCAGCCCTGCCTCGTGCTCTGGTATCCGTCTCTGTTTCTCCCGACCGAGACTGAGACTGTCGTCAGCATACCGGACGGAGAAAGCATGATGGGCAACCCATCATCCCTCACCCGACCCCAACGACCCCAACTCTAAATCCCATTCATCAATCCCATTTTTCTCTTCGTCAAACCACCCTTCTATTTCGACGCTGTGACGATCGCCTCTATTTCCCTTTGTTTCCGATATTTTCGTTTTCGTCATTTTCCCTCATTTCGTGCCTCTCGAGTTCCCTCGTCATTTTCCCATCGAAGCCCCCTTCTCCCTTGGTCGACCCACCACTCGAGCCTCGAGACAATCACAAGTCAGTTCACCCCGAACGAAACGAGGGGCGACTCTTCGAACGATTCGCCTAACGTCCTAGCCGCGGGCTTTGGCCGCCTCAATAGAAAGGGCGCGGTGTGCCCATGAATACCAATTTCCATTTGTATCCCCGCCTTCTTTCTGCGTCGGCATCTCGAAACATCGAAAGCCGAAACCGATCCACCACCGAGTTTCCGTATCTGTCTTATCTTCAGCCTTGGATTGCCTCGTGATAACATCTGCTCGCGACTGGGAGTCCCAAGTGCTGACCTTTATCCTACCCGCACTCCATATCAACTCAAAATCGACGTTTTCCCGAATGATTTACCTATAGCGACGACATCCTCGCTGCTGCCTTTTTCTTCGCCCCCCATCTTCCCCCTGCGGACCCGATATCCGCATTTCGAAGTCGAGTCAAAGCCCACTCACATCAGCGCAGAAGGAGCGATCACAATGGGTTCTTCATCATCCGACACCGTCGGTGTCATCATCGTCGGTCTACTATCGGCTTTCGCCTCTGCCATCCTTATCGCCCTGGCCTTTGTTGCCCTCTATCTATACAGGTACCCGTCGCGCTCGGGGTGGCTAGACTTCCTCGGCAGGCCGGGAGAGTTTGACGATGAGCAGGCCTTCTTAAGGGAGGAGGCTGAGGCCTTGGAGACGATGGATGATATGCAAAGGACAGAATATCTGAGAGCAAAAGGTTCGTTTGACTCCAGCGCCTCCCTCCCCGCGGCGTCCGACCATCATACGATGCACTTGTCGCCTTGGCCTTGGAGGTGTCGTTAGACTAACTTTATTTATTTTTGCCAGCGTTTATCAATGCGAACCCTCCTGAATCAGCCCAGACCGACATCTCGCTCTCTCAATACCTCGCGATACAGGAAAAAGGCGTCTCGGCCTGGGAGTTTGAGCCCGAGCTCGAGATTGCCAACTGCTTCGTCGAAGCCCGCACCGAGATTGAGTTCTTCGATTCGGAGTGTACGGTCATGTGCAACCTCCCCGTTCCTAAGCAAAACGACGTATACTATTGGGAGGCCAAGATTTACGACAAACCGGACAATACCCTGCTCAGCATTGGAATGGCCACGAAGCCCTATCCCCTCTTTAGGCTTCCAGGTACGTTTTTCAGCTGCCTAATCCCCACAACTCCCCCTTGGCTCCCATGCGCTCCGTCGCATATACCACCGTCCCACCGACAATGTAATAACGCAAGTTTGATAGGCTACCACAAGTGTTCCGCTGCCTACCTCTCCAGCGGCGTCCGTCGATGCAACCAACCCTTCAATCCTACAGCCTATGGTCCCGAAATCGTTCAAGGTGATGTCGTAGGTGTCGGCTACCGTCCCCGCACCGGAACGATATTCTTCACCCGTAACGGCAAGAAGCTAGATGACGTGGCACATGGCCTCAAAACCCAAAACTTCTTCCCTGCAGTGGGAGCCAATGGTCCAGCTATCGTGCATGTAAATCTCGGCCAGTCTGGCTTCGTCTTCATCGAGGCCAATGTCAAGAAGTGGGGTCTTGCTCCTGTCACCGGCAGCCTCGCGCCTCCCCCTCCCTACGGCTCGGAGCAGGGTAGCATTCTCCTCGAGTCAGGGTCCAAGGACGGAAATTACAGCCCGGCCCCTGCGCGGTACCAGAGAGCCCATGCTAATACCCATTCGGGCGTCCACCCGTACCGTGTCACCGCCGGCCACGTCCTCGGCTCGCAGCATGCGAGGTCCAGGAGTGGCACCTTCCGTGTCCTACCTCCCACGAGCCCCGGCCCCGCCCGGAGCCCTACCGATATTTCACTCGCGCAATTAGTACCTACTGAAGAGGCCGGTGAGCCGAGCGGAAACGTCACGACGCACCCGGCCACCGGCACTCGGGCCGAAGACGAGACTGTAGGTCTCGGCCTGCAAGATGCGCTCAACCCGCCCCCGGACTACACCAGCCCCGAGAACTCCGTATCCGGCAGTCGTCGCAGCAGCCTCGACAGCGAGAACACACCCTTAATACAGATTATCAACAGGAGCCGGCAGAGCTCCCTAGCAACCTCGGGGGCTGCTAGTTCAGGGCGCCGTGCCTCGTCGGTACGGGGTCCCCAGCCTCCGATTCCCAGCTACAGTGACGCCATGAGAGATAGCCCAGCACCAGAAACCCCCAGCGTGCAACGGAGTTCAAGCCCGTCTTCGGGCGAGCAGTCCGCGTGATTCATGATGACCCAGAGCTACTTGAATTGCGGAACTCGTTTGTTGTTTTTTTATTCTTGTTTTACGTTTGCTAAGTAGCATGCCGCTGGGCGGTTGTCTCGGGAAAGGGCTCGGGGGAAGCATTTTTATACCCGGACTAATGGATACAATGGCGTCATCTGGGAGGAACTTAACATATTTTAAAACTTGGACGATTCCTTATCCAAGTTTTCTTCTATTTTGTTTTTGTGGGACACAAGAGGGTGAGATAAAAGAAAAAAAGATGGAGAAAGGTTATACCCCGAACGTGCCGAGCATGTTTTTACTGAGTTTTTTTTTTTTTTTTTTTTTTTTTTTTTTTTGGTTGTTGTTCTCGTTTTATCTTATTGACAGACGACTTGACTGCACCAACACCAACACACACACTACCTTCGGCGTTTTTTCGCCCTCCTTTGTCTTTTAATACTCCATGAGAGTAGCAGGATTAGGCTGGCATACACATACCACGTATCACACACATCCACGGGTGTTAAAGGAGAACTTTCCTTCCATCATTTTCTTATATTGCATGGCGAATGGTGTTTTTGTGGTGGATAGGTGTACTACGCCCCTTTTTTTTTCAATATATTATTACCCCTTTGGGGTAGTTGGTTTGAAGCCTTTTTGAAGTTGTGTGAGTGAGTGAGTTTGTGAGTGACTTGGCCCAGTTCGAGCCGAAGTTTTATGACTACCTCTGGAGGTTGAGAATGAGGGGAGAGAGTTTTGGAGGAGGCTTTCAGGGACGATGTGGGCTTCATTAAGACGGGAGACTCGATGGCCAAGGGACCTCTCCTCTAGTGTGAGTCTACTAATGACGCCCTCGATTGAAGATGTATGTCTCCATCGAGCAGGACGGGTTCATTATGGTTGAACTGTCGTTTTCGCAGTCCCGCCAAGTTTAGTTACCTATTTGGACGGAATTGGCTCGGCCTTTTAAGCCTAGAACTCGAGGAAAAGCCCTTTCTTGACAACGGAGATAGTAGGATATAAACGCAGGTCCGGAAGTGTACCGACGCCAGCCCGTTATTCAGGAGTCGGAGAAATATATCATCGAATATGCTCCGAGGTCGAGGGGATGAGAAACATCACCCTCTTTGTTCACACTCCAGAGCGGTGAACTAGGCGAGAGATTCCCCCCCCAACCTTTTTCGGTCCTTTGATTTCCTCTCTTCACTGCCTTCTTGATGCCTGACCGTTTGTTTTGCTAGCGATTCCGGCCCGCACAAGGTGGAAACCGCTGCATTCAGTGTCATGGACTTTACGACGAAGAGTTCCGAAAGGTGCTAGATCTAAAGGTGGTAGTAGGCGGCGAGAGGAGTTTGGAATTAATTCGGTGCTTTCCGATATATTGCGTTTGGTGTGTATCAGCCGGCCTTGAAACGAACCTCTAGTGCCACAGAAGCATCGATCCGACTATTCATAGGTACACTCTTCATCCCAGAACCAAGGATAAACGGACCTACCAGTATCTTCGCATGGCGATAGCTCCTCTGTATGATCTCGACCTTAATGAAGTGGTGCCACGACTGCAGCAGGCAACATGCCGTAGTAACTTCCGGACAACCCGATGGCGTAAGAGCGTTTTTTGGCATCGTCACGACGTATGAATATCTAGAGATCTACACACCCACCCCTCTCTTTCTTCAAGAACCGGAAGATATCAGAATGGAAATATTTGGGATTCACAAGAGGATTCGCTCACAGGGATATCTAGCATGGGGCCATCTATTTCCTCTTTTATCAATGATAACAACACATCTGCGCTCGACGGGGTTCATCCTGTATAAACTCAAAATATTGATTCAAGTCACTGGAAAGAGCATAGCAAACTAGGATTCAGGTACGTCGAAAATTATGAAGATGTCGCCTTCTGAGGCTCGGGATCTACCTCCAGCCTGCTTTCAAAAGACTGTCAGTCTCTCCTCCCCTCCTTCACCCGGCTTTCCACACTCCCTTCGCATATTTCGCCCTTCTTCTCCCTAATGAAGTGAGACCTCGCTTGCATCGTAACGTGCGGTCTGTCCCTCTGCTCAAATCTCTCCAACACACCTTGACATTGTTCTCCAGCGTCCCGCCGTAGCGTGTCAGTGGATATAATCACTCAGCCCAAACTCCCCGGCGGCGTATTTCCTGGCCGAGAAGCTTTGCTTTCTTTCCCATTTGCCTTCCGTTCATCCAAGTGTCCTGCGTCAAAGTGAGCGGGCTTGTTCCAGCTCCCCGGCCATCACCCTGTTCTCCCTCGTCTCCGGTGCTATGGCCCATATAATTCAGCATTCTTGTTGGTTTGCGTTAATGGAACATCGAGGCTGGAGTCGTGCTGACGATGCGAGCCCCGGCCTCGTAGAGATTAGCTGCTCTGCCACCATACAAAGTAGTTTGTTAGTCCTCTTAAAGTCCTTAGGCAATCTCTTCGACTCAGCCATCGGATATTCCTAACTTTGGCGGCTATACTCGAGAGAGCTTGCCGTTAGAATGTGTATGTTCTGGGAGGCGGCGGGGTCTCCGAGTTGAAACAGTAGACATTGTGTCTCCAAAGGGAAATATCAGCATCGGGGAACTTCAAAAGATGTTCATTTGAGGGAGGTGAAGGAGCCAATTGGCCGGCCTGTAGCCCTCGGCCCTCGTGTTAGTGAATCCAAAGGCAGTGTTCCTGCCGAAGTCACCCTGATCAATGGCCGAAGAGCTCCTAGATGGAGAACTTGAACACGAGGCCCATCTTCTGTTCGTTTGGCTGCAGGATCATAATGCCATACAATTTCCTGGTGGGCCGGAGAGGACTGAAAACATCGGCCATGGGTCTCTTGATTCGGCGATGTCCCGTCCTGATCCTGTACTTGTCGATCAGCCTGACTTCACGGCTGGCGATCAGAATTCGGTGAACGTGAGTTGCTGACTCCTCTGTTGAGACGTCAGCCTCGACGATACCCAGACTCCTCGTAGCGGCCACTCCCTCAACCTTGATGGTCGGGGGCTCCCCGTTCTCGTGTTGGGTATGGATGCTGACGGCAAGGGGGAGATCCGCGAGGGCGGATCCGCCGTTAATGGTGCGTATCATCCGCTTGGCAACGACACCAATAAGCACGATGCCCCTGGACGAGGAAGAAGGCCCATCCCGGCGTTCCCCTGAAGCTCACTAATCGTCTTTTGGGTCGCAGTAGCATGTGTCCTCGACCCATTTTCATGCTACAGGCATAAACCGGAGGAGGTCACCGTTTATGTTGAGGCATGTTGTTTGATACACGGTCCATAGGGCTGACGTATGCACTGCTAGCTGACGACTTTCTACCATAAAGAGATCCCTGACACGCTTTAACGGATCGTTCGAGTCCTAAGTCGATATCGTAGGAGTCCGAGTTAGGAAATCGACTGCGAATCGGACCGGTTTACAGAGTGTCATCCAGGGTGGTGGGAAGAGAGAATTCGCCAGAATGTTGATCCACGTCGGGCTCTACTGGTAGCAGATGCGTACAAAGGACAGTTTTCAGACCCTCACGGGTCGGCCTTTCTCAAGGGCCAAGCCATCGTATCCCCATCTTTTGGCTTCAAGCAGCAATAATCATCCCATCATCTTATCCTCCTTCCACTCGCCTCTCCCTAGACAAGGAGTAGATCAACAGTTCCACGATCCCTCCTAATCCCTTCCACTTCGAACATAACCCACTCCAGTTCCCTCTCTCGGCAGGCAAATTTTTAGCAAAAGAACCAATAAGAAGCCCAAAAAGGGAATCTAACGATGCACTCTTCGTATTTGCCGCGGTTTTTTTTGGTCTTTTCTCCCACCCCCTTTCATCAGTGATTTATTTTTAGGAACCCGGGGGATTTCAGGGTGGGTTTGTGGCGTCCCAAGTCGCAAATGAGAACAGGGAGAGAGGCTTTTATTGGAGAGAAATCCAATGTGTGATCGGCTTGAGCTTTTCTCGTATCGCCTTACCAGGAGCGATCAATAGGGCTAGCCGGTTCGGCGGGGGGGGGGGGGGGGGGGGGGGAGATGACAGCTCTTTGGCGTCTCCGTTCTCTCCCATGAGATCAATGTCAATTGGTTTGTGCTGGAGTGAGCTTTCTCTTCCGAAGTAATCTAGACGCGATTGGGATAGGGTTGGGTTCTCGTCGTCTGTTTCCCGAGGTGGCATTTTCCTCCTTTTTAGTTGCATTTTCAGGTCTCCTTGTCTTTGCTCCTGTTTTCAAGGCTAATTATATCTCTAAATGTCTCTAGACCTATTTACTTTTAGTAGAGGTAGCTATACGAGAAACTAAATGGGACAGGATGTGGTGATAGCGGATGGTTTTGGTCTCACGAGAATTTCTAGAGACTACGTTGCTGCGTGACGGGCTCGTGGCCGACTTGCTGCCCGACTCCGGCTTTATTGGAGAATTTAGAATGGAATGTAAGATGAGTGGAGATAGGATACAGAAAACATCATCTTCTGGGGAGAGGACTATGCGTAGAAGGAGGAGTCTCTTGGCAACGTTGAGAGATCATGAGCTTGATGCTGGTGTATGGCAGCGCAATTTCGGAGATTATTTGACCAAGTCTGCTAGTCTCCAACCTTTCTCCGTCTCATAGAATAGAAGCTTTTGTTCCGAGAGTCAGAGAGGAGACCTTGGTTTATCGGGGCGGTAGTATACGAAGGTCTGTTCTTTGGACGGCAGATTCGATGATGATCGTTATTTGGATTGGATCTTGAACCGTTGTATCAATCGATGGCCCGATATTCCTTTGCTTCTACGACATCCGTGTACTCTAGAAGATACAGAACAGAAGAGAAGAGAGAGGGATTGTATGTTGTTTTGAAAGACACAGATAAAGCTCGGCCGAGATACCTTCTTCAATCGATGGCCCCCAAGGAGACACCAAGCCGGGTGATTCGAAACCATGTCGGCACACAGCGGAATCGAGGCTGTAAAGGAACAGCTAAAACATCCCGCACCTGCGGAAGCGGAAGAGTAAAAAAAGAAAAAGAACAGAGAACAATATTTGTACA